CCACTTAGCAAGTCTCAGTGGCCCCCACTCTGCCTGGCCCGTGCTGGCCGCTGGGAGCACAGGACCAATCCGTCACATCCGGTCCCTGTTCTCAAAAGCTCACAGACACTGTGGACGGCAAACATGTCGCTCACACACCAAACTTCCCGTCCTTCACACACGACGGGCATCGCCAGTCGGTCCCGGCAGCTCTCCCCACTTCTTGGATCGAGGCAGCCTCGACCAAGGAGCTGCATTCAGCAAATGAACGGCACCCTTTGCCCTCCACGGCCCCGGCACTGGCTGGGCGGGGGGAGGCGGGGGGCGCTGGTGGAGACCCTGAAAGCTAAGGCCTGCTCCTTCTGTCTAAAGACATCAACTTCAACGTGTCTGGCCAGGTGAACAGTCATGACCTCTCACATACAAGAGCACTTTACAGTTCATACAGCATTCCTCCACCCATCACCGCACTGAATTCCCACAGCCCCAGTCCTCGGGCTTTGTGTAATTTCTAATTTACAGATGAGGAAATGGAGGTCGAGAGAGGGTCTTACTAAGGAAGGTGGAGGAGGGGCTAGAACCAGATCTCGGGCTCCCAGCCTTCCCAGCACCCCATTACTGCCATTACCCAGAATGCTATCTCCAAAGCCCTGTGGGTCCGGGATCCCTTTGGGCTGCTCTTCGTGGAGCCTTGAGAATAAGAGCTGCTCAACCCATTCCAAGGAGGAGGAAACCGAGGCCCAGGAGAAAGGCAAGCAGCAGGTCGTTGGGGTGGGGGCTGCCACCTCCCCCTACCACGGCTCTCACCCTTCTTTCTCCGGGGGCCACAGCAGGTTGGGCCCCAGGACGATGGCAATGTTGCTGGGTGTCATCTTGTTCACCTCCTGATCCTCGGCCAGACGTGCCAGGAACTTCATCAGGTACCTGGGGGGACAGGAGATGGGCTGGGGCCCGGGCGGGGCAGGGGCGACCAACACCCATCAACGTCCCCCAAGACGGAGCCTTTCCCGGCCTGGGGTTGCCAAAGTGTGGCCAAGGCAGCACACAGGCTGGTTAAACATTTCTGATAGTTAAATTAGCTGACCTACTGAGCGCCACCTACGTGTCAGGCGCTGAGCTAAGTTGAGCATCTATGGGGTTGTTATGCATTTTCTAGCTCAGGCACTGAGAGGCCAATTTGCCTGCTCAGGGCCACACAGTCACAGAGGTGGGATTTGAAGCCAGGTGGTGTGGCTTCAAAGGTTCAAAGTGTGTGTTTAGTTCAGTGTCTAGTATTAAAAATATGGTGCTGCTCAGTGACTGAGTGTCAACCTATGGATCAGGAGGGCTGCGGGGGTCCGAGGCCATCGTCTGCTTGAGGCGCTTCAGCACCGAGGCCACAGCAGTTTGATTCCTGGCCAGGGCACAGGCCCAGGTTGGGAGCTCAATCCCCAGTAGGGGGCGTGGAGGAGGCAGCTGATCAATGGTTCTCTCTCGTCATTGATGTTTCTGTCCCTCTCTCCCTCTCCCTCTCTGAAATCAATTAAAAAATATATACATCTTAAAAAATATGACTAGTACCGTGCTTGCTTCCCCAGCACATAAGCTAAAATTGGAACAGCACAGAGATTAGCATGGCCTCCGCGCAAGGATGACACGCAAATTCGTGAAGTGTTCCATATTTAAAACAAAAAATAATAGAAGAATAAAAATATGACTAGTACATCTAAGCTGTGTTTTCAGAAATACAGTGGTTCTCAACCTTCTGGCCCTTTAAATACAGTTCCTCACGTTGTGACCCAACCATAAAATTATTTTTGTTGCTACTTCATAACTGTAATGTTGCTACTGTTATGAATCATAACGTAAATATCTGATATGCAGGATGGTCTTAGGTGACCCCTGTGAAAGGGTCGTTCGACCGCCAAAGGGGTTGCGACCCACAGGTTGAGAACCACTGGCTTAGAACAAGGAGGTAGGACTCAAACCCAGGCCCCAGAGTCCTGCAGGGCCTGGCTTCGAGGGCCGGGGTGGGCTTGGGCTCACCTGAGGTTACTGAAGTTCTCCTGGGGCAGGCGGCTGCATACCTCCTGGAGGGCCTCCAGCCGGGCTCTGGGCTCCTTCAGGCTGGGGAGGGAACAGCCCAGGTGAGCCAGCCCAGGGTGGCACCTCTACAGCCTCCTCTCCCCACAACCCCCCACCTCACCTGGCTGCCTTCATCCAATCGTCATAGAGGTCAAAGGTCATCAGGGGCTCGGGCAGCTCCCGCAGATAGGACTTGAGGGCACCTGAAGTGGTGGTGTGAGCTCAGAGGCAGCCCAGGGCTCCACCTTCACCCCAGTACCCAGCTCTCTCCATCTGTGAGGGGCCTCTGGTCCTTGTTCATACTAACATGTGTAAGTCTATCATTTCTTGGGCCGTTTAGAGAAAATGATGAAGGCTAGTGATCTTGTTCTCAGAAAAGCGTACATACACTTCAGGGGGTTCATCACAAACCCCGCTTTCAGGACCCCTATGTTTTCTGGGCAGATTATCAGGCCTTAAAGCAAACGATCATGGGATCATTTCAGGCAGCTGTGGTGAAGGGAGGTGGGGAAGGGGCCCACCCTTGGAGCAGGTACCTGCTACGGCGTGGGGGTCAGAGCAGAACTCCTGCAGGTTGCGGGGGTCCGAGGCCATCGTCTGCTTGAGGCGCTTCAGCACCGAGGCCCCAGCGGCGAGACGGAAGAGGCCCTGGGGCGTGAGAGGGACCATGTAGGGTCACGGAGGGGTGGGTGGGACAGGACACCCTGGCTGGAGGGCCCTGCGTCACTCATGGCTTGGGGCAGGTGGCTGGCCCTCACTGGCCCTGTGTCCCCACTGGCCTGGCAGGCAGAGTGGACACCAGGGTCCTTGGATCCTCTCAACGCGCAGGCCTTGGATTCGGAGCAAGGGGGAGTCTGGGAGGGGCTGGGGCAAGTCGTGGGGAGACAGGCGTCTGGTTAGGGGAGGAAGGGAGAAAGGAGGCCCCGCAGGATGTGCGGAAGCCTGCCTTTGAGTAGTTCCACCTCCTAAGGGTCTGTCCTCGGGAAAAGAGCTGATGGACTAGCAGCACTGAGGTGCAAAGGACGGATGAGGGCAGGTGCAGCAATGACTTCACTGCCACCTGCTCATGTGCTGCTGGGCACGTCTACCTCTTGATCTCCGTCTCCCCTTGTAAAATGGAGCCACTGAGGCTTCCTTGCCAGGGTTACTGGGATCATTAGTTCCTCGGTGCAAAAGGCTTACAGCCTGGACCACATGAGCGTCGCTAAGCGGGTGGTATCACATCAGCAACAGAAGGCCATGCCTTCTCCCAGGATCTGCTCTAAGGGCAGATGACGGGCACAGCCTGCAGCAGGGGGAGGTCTGGGACAGGAGGTGGCCCCGTTGCTCCACCCCACCTGCCCCAGTGGGTCCCACCTCTTCCTTCACGCCCTCAGAGAGCAGCATCAGGACGCAGGCCTCGATGGGCAGGGCGATGTCTCGGCCCAGCTCTTGCAGGTGAGCTCCCAGTGACACCCCATACACCCTGGAGAAGGGGGCGGCCATCATCGAAGGGGAGGGCTCTGCAGGGACAAGATGGATCAGCGGCCCAGGGTCCTTCCACTCACAGGCAGCCAGGAGCACCCCCAGACATCCTTAAGTGACTGCGGCTTTGGCTAACGGTGCCACCTCCCACCCAGCCACCCAGCCACACACCCTGAAACCATCCCACACATCTCTCAAATCTGCCCACTTCCACTGCTTCCAACCAGCCCAGGCGCCATCACTTCCCTTCTGCCTCGTAACAGGTCTCCTGGCTCCAGTCCTGCACCACCCACCCCACCCCACCCTCCACCCTCCACCCTCCACCCTCCACCCTCCATGCAGCAATCTCTCCACCACAAATCTAATCACGCCCTCCCCTGCTCAGAGCCATCTGTGGCTCCCTACTGCCTTTCAGGGATAGAGTGCAAGCTTCTTAACATGCCTGAGCCCGTGGGGGTCAGGAGTGTGGGGTCAGGGCTATCTGTGTCCTCACCTGCTTGGCTGTGGTTCTCCTTCAGCTCGGCTAGGGCTGTGTCCAGCGAGCTCAGAGACTTGCGATGGTAATCGGCCTGAATCTCCATGAGCTGTGGGGACAGCGGGGAGTGAGGGAAGCCGAGCCTACCTCTACGAGAGTAGACCCTTCTCTCCCACTGGCTCACAGGGGGCCTCGGTGGCCTCTGGCTCTGGCGTCACCAGAGCTCTGGGTGGCTGGAGCCCAGTCTGGACTCACGTTTATGAAGTAGTTGGCGTATGAGTCCTCCTTGGTGGCAAAGTGGTACAGGTCAGCCAAGTACTCGTCCTTGGAGACAGAGGGGGGAGGGCTTATATCAGTGAGGCTGGGGCCCAGGGGTGCGGTGAGGCTCAGGGGGGCTAGTAACTTGCTCAAGCTGTGCGCGGAGGGTCCCAGCCAGCTCTCCGCTCTCTGCCAAGGTTTGCATTGGGGACAGCCCACGGGAAATTCTTTGAACTCCTGAGGGGCTTTTGCAGCTTCCAGTCCTCACCTTTGAGTCCCCGTACCCTAGCACAGTGCCTTGTGTCAGGCACCATTCATACATTCACTCACTTAGCACACACACCAAGACCTGGGTGAACCCCAGCTCTTTCCTCATCTATGAAATGAGAACAGTGCCCACCCCGCCACCCCCACCCATCCCGGGAACCGCAAGTGCCCCCTCACCTTGCACTGCTCCACCTTCCTCTTCAGCTCCTCCTCCTCCTCCTTCAGTGTCTCCACCTTGTTGGCCGTGGTGGTGTGGCCGTAACTGCCTGGGCCTCCACCCAGGCCCTGACCGCTGCCTGAGTTCTTAGCTGCCTGGCTGAGCCTGGGGATGATCCCAAGGTGGAGTGGTCACTGTCCCCATCGCATGTCCAGAGTCAAGTGTCCCTTTCATGTGCGTGACCACAGGATTTTGGGATTTATAGGTGCAAATCCCAGAGCTCCACTGGGCCTGGGCCATGAGTGCTCGGGGGCGCCACCTGGTGGTAGGCTTGGTGGTCACAACCATCCAACTCCAGAGTAGAAGGTTGGGGCCTTCCTGCCATCCAGGGATCCCCTGGGATTGTTTATGACTGTCTTAGGCTTTGGGGTCACTGCAGCTGGCATAAGCACGTGCACACACACATGCACAGAGACACCCTTACATGTACCCTCACATATGTGTTCCTAGGACCAGGCGTGCACACCAGTACACACTCCGCACCCAGGGGCCCTGCATTGTCCTCTATTATGGGAAGGGCCTCGGAGCCCTGTGGCCACCTCTGTGGGCCGACCTAGGCATGGGCCCCACCCAGACGCTGTGGCTCCCACCTGCTCTTGAGGGTATTCCAGTCGGACACCAGCTTCTGCAGGCTTTTCTTGTGCTTGAGGATGGCTGGCAGCTCCTCCTAGGGCAGGCATGGGGGGGGGGGGGAGGGATGAGTGGGCTGGGGAGGTGGGAGCTAGAGACTGGGGAAGCTGCGGGCAGGGGTAGGGGTCACCTCACTCAGCCTGTTGAGTGGCTGCAGGACATCCCTCTCCAAGGTCATCTCAAACTCGGCCAGGATGCGAGCCAGCTGGTTCTGAATGGCACAGCTCATCTCCAAGGCCTTCCTGTGGACACAGCACCCAGTGGACCCAGGCTCCCACAGCCCCGCTCCCCAATCTAGAAAGACTAGGTGGGGCTTCCTTCCTCCCCATCGCCTCCTGCCCCTTCGATCTCTCCTTCATCCTTCAGCCCAACACCTCCCAGGCCTGGCTAGGGCGCCCTCCCTGACCTGGACTCTGTCCTCAGCCCAGACACTCCCCCTACCTAGTCATCCTTCCACTGTGGCTGCCCTCCCTGCCCGGACCCCCTCCCAGCCCAGATCCCTCCTTGGCCTCTCCAGGTGAGAGCCGAGGCCTCTGCCCGTGCTCACCCCATGCTGGAGTCAGGGTCCAGCTCCTTGAAGCTCTCGGCCATCGTGGTGGACAGAGCCATGAGGGGAAGCTTCTTCTGCAGGGAGGGGCAGGGCGCTGTGAGCATGAGTGCCTGTGCCGCCCACTGGGCCTCCCTTCACCCTCTCAGAGTGTCCCTGGGGGGCAGAACCCCACCGAGGCACTGGGCTTGGAGGTGGGAGGAGGGAACCCAGGAGGGCCACGGTCACAGGTGAGAGTGGAAGCAGGATGATGACAAGGCACGGTGGGGTGACCTCTCCTTGGGGCCATGGAAAGAGCTCCTATCTCACTGGGGCCCCTTTCCCATTCCCAGAAGCCACTTGAAGGGGGTGGAGGGAGGGACCAAATCCCATTACAGACTAGAAAACTAAGAACAGAGGCCACGGGCCTGCCAAGGTCACACAGTTGGAGGGAGCGTGGAGGAGCTGGAAACAGGCCTCCAAGTGGCTCTCCCCCGCCCCGGGCACAGGTGGCTGCTACGGCCACCGTGACACGCAAACCCTCCATGCTCCCATGGCCCCCCTTTCCCCAGAGCTCTGGCTACACTGAATTGTTGACTGACCCATTCCCACCTGGGGTTACAGGCAGCACCAGCTTTGGTCACGAGGTTCAGGGTTCAAATCTCAGTTTGGCCACTGACTAGCTTGGGTGGCCTTGCGTGAGCCTCGTTACCTCTGTAAGTCTCCATTTCCTCATCTGCACAAGAGCTTTAATTAGCAGCCTCCTCCTTCCATTGTCAGCATTGAGCAAGGCATTGCCCTGACACATCTTAGCAACACACTAACAGTAACCAGTCCATAAATGCTGCTGTTGGTGAATACCAGTGAGTATCGCTCAAAATCCAGCTCAAATGCCACTTCCTTCAAGAAGCCCTCACAGATTGCCCCAGTTGAGAGGGCCTGCTCCATTCTAAGGGCTGATTGGACAAGGAAGTTCAGGTGCAGTCAGAAATCTGGCTCTGGCTCAGGGGATTGGTGCAGAGGGGGGCGGGGTCAAGAAGGGATGGGGCAGACATAGGGCCTCATGAGCGGGGTGCCCAGGGGCCTTGGGAAAGAGCAGTCTTCACCCCCTTGGGGCCAGAGGCTCAGACTGGCAGGGAGACCCCAGCCCCTGACATCACTCCCCCCTTGGACAGGGGTGTCTTAGCTAGGCCCCTCCTCCCTGGGACCCCCACTCACCACCCGCTTGTCCATATCCGACCCGCTCTGGCCCTGCAGACAGGCCTGCAGTCGCTTGTGGACATTGTGGGCTGCTCGCTTGGCTGGCTCCAGCCGCTGCTCCACCTGGGAGGGGCACGGGGTTACAGATCCCGGGAGGTTACTGCCCCCCTCCCCACTGCCCTGTTCTTTCCCAGAGCAGGATCCCCTTTCCTCTTCCCTCCTCCTGGGGACCCTAAGGCCCACAGCTTGGGGAATGACTCAACCGAGGCCCCCAACAGGCGTCCCTGCCCGGCCCTCTGGTGACAGCCTGCATGGACCTGCCTTGCCACCCGCAGCTGGCCCAGGCATGTACCTGCTGGAGGTCCTCACCCAGGAACTCGGCAGTCTCCGTCTCCGGGGTGCTGATGGAGGGAGGGTGGGAGGGGGGAGAGCTTCTGCTGAGCTGGCCCAGATTAGGACCCCCTGCCCCCCCCCAACAGAGCACCTGAACCCCAGGTGCTTCCAGCACCCCTCCCAGTTGGGGCCCGCCCTGGGTGGCCCGCCTGCCTTATCCCAGTCAGAGCACATTCCATGGGGATAGCAATAGGATACATGGCTTTTCCTCCTCCGCCCAGGGCTGAGTCCCGAGAGAGGGCGGATGAAACCAAAGGGGAGCCTGGGGGAGCCACCCAGAGCCCAGCCTCTCTCTTCTGCTGACCTGAGGAGAGGAGGCCTGGGCTGGCCCCAGGAACGGGAAGTGTGTGGGCTCGGGCTCTTGGGCTGTCAGTCACACAGGACTCTGGACTGTGGTGGTGGGCAGGCCCTGGGCCCCCGCCCGGGACACATGGGGACACAGCCCCAGCACAAGGTGGCCTGGCTGCCCGGGCCCACACAGGCACCCGGGTTGTGTGAGACGAGAACCAGGTCTCTGGGCACCCCGTCCCCTCCCCTGGGCCCAGAGATGGGAAACACCCAATGCAGGGGGAAGAGGAGAGAAGACAGGCCAGGGGAGCTCCCCAAACTTCCCGGCCACCACTCCACCAGCCGGGGGCTGGGGAACAGGGAGGCCGGGCGCCGTTTCCACCTGAGGCTGGGAAAGCAGAAGCAGGACAGAGAAGCGGGCCTCCGGCTGGGGGAGTGGGGCACACGGCGGGACAGGAACAGGCTCTTCCCACCAGCCAGGGCCGTCTCCTCCCCTCCCCCGAGGTCTGGGGCCCTGACCGCCCCTCCCCCACCAGACAACCAGAGACGGCTGTCCCCATTGCTCAGAGGGGACAAGTGAGACCAGGGAGGCGCGTTCACTCTGAGGTCTATGGAGGCAGAGGAGAGACTCAGCATCTCCGATCCTCCCTGCACCCCTCTCTAGTGGGGGGGTGCCCCTTCCCTCAAAAGCCAGCGCCTTTCCCTCTTGCTCTAGCTGGGAGGTGGGGTGACGTTCGGAGGGGAGGGGGGTGGCAGGGCTCTGGTTAGTCAGAGGTCCAGCTGCCTCCCGCTCCTCCCCCTTCCCTCGGGTCCAGCGGGGGTGAGCGCGGGGCTGGAGGGCACAGGGTGGACACTCACCGTCCCAGACTGCCC